GCTGGTAACATCTAGACTAAGTCGATTCACATTACAGTCAATTGAAAGATTGTTTCACTTAAAGGATCTGATCCAAACCTTCCTAAAGGAGGAAACATTGTATTGGGCAACAGCAATAGTGTTTTAGTTTGAATATCCATGGCTGCAAGCAAAGTGAGGTGGCCAGAGCTTCTGTTTTGTCCTGTTTTAACCACTACCACCTACCTTAGTGAAAACCCTCCCTCTCTCTAGAGGGCCTTTTCTCTACAGCAAGGTTCAAACAATTCTTCAGCGTGGTCACCTACTCAGAGCTCCGGAGAACGAAATGTCTGCAGCCCTTCACAGCTCCACACGCTGCTCTGCGAGGGCCCTGGCCCCACGGACACACAGCTTTAGAATGTGATACCATATTATAAAACAATGACAGTATTAGAAATATTTTCACAGAAATGTGTATGTTCTGCAGTATTATATCCAGAAATATTTTCTATTTGAAGAGGTTACCTTTTAAAAGCTTTTATTTAACACTTGCTTAGTATTTTGGAGTTTCCCACATGGTATCAAGAGACAAAGTCTCAAACTGTTTCTGCTGGGTAGCAGAGTGTTTTACAGAGCTACATCCTACGGACACCCCAGAACCAGTAAACCAAGGGCGGCAGCAGAGACTAAGCACGAGCTGGCAAGTCAGCGCTACTAGTCCTAGTCCTCCTTCCTTCAAGGGGGAAAAAACAAACAAGAAGAAACTGTGGGTAAACACACAGCAATATGCATGGAGCCCCTGCTTGCACTGCAAGATTACAAGTAGAATACAAAGACTCACTTAACAGCTTTTAATTTCATACAGTTACTTATCAGCAGGAATATAAATCACTCCCTAGGTGGAGAATTCTTTGGGGAAAGGAAAACAATAAGTCAGGTTTATTTTTCCAGAGGTACTCTTGCTTCTATTGTTGCATCTGTATCTTAGATATTCTCATATATAAATGAAAATAATATTTTAAAGCAGTTTAATCTTTCTTTGATGTAACTAAAGGCTTAATCCAGAGCAATAATTACATAAGAAACATTATACTTTTTATGAAATATTAAACCTGCAATTTATCTTTTAATATCTACTTCAAAGTCTACTTGACAGGAATAAATAAATGAGCATTCCTTGGCAATAAAACCTGTAATTCATGAAATATTTTATTCATCCATTTTCCTGAGAATACCACTAACATCTAGAGCTATGTAGTCCTATCCAACCATTATGCTTATACTCAATTAGAAAATTATATCAATAATAATGTAAAATAAATTACCTAGCTTCTCTTCCCAGAGCATAGACTTTAATGTTCGTCAAAGCAACTACGTGTACAAACAGCACTGTGGTGTTTTTCATCACGCCTTAAAGTCAATTAAGCTACGAATTGGAACAATCATTCCTCTTTTGCAGAGTATTGATGTTTTTTTCTTGGCTGCTTTCAGGCCTTTTCACTACTCAAGGAGAGATTTGTGTTTGACAATTTCTTTCTGATTAAAATGAATCATAACTCTAGAATTCTAATTTCCTTTTTTTTCTGAACAAGAAATTATCAAACAGTTTTAAATTGATATTGAATGTCATCGTGCATGAACAACATTCATTTTCAGGATATCAAATGTAGAGCTATAGTGATCTCTCTTTGTCTGCCTCTTTTACATTCTCTATGTATATAAAGAATATCAGCTTGCACCAATATAATCAACTACATCTCTCTATAAAAATTGTATTTGACAGACTAGCTGGACCAGTCACATTAAAACCTGTCACATCGCTTTGCAAGAGGCAATTCCCTCTAGCTGCAATATTATCACAAATTCTGCTCTACTTTAGAAAGAAAATATCCGAAATACTGCAGGCTGCAAACAAATGTCATAGTTATCAAAAATAATTAGCAAGTTTGTAACAGCAATCCCTACCCAACTGGTTCAAATTCTCTATAAAGCAGTGCTTTAGACAAACTGCTGAAAAAAAACTTTTCTAGATTTGTCTCCAACAGCCAATTAAGATCAATATGAATTTGTTTTTAAATGTCTAGAATAGCAGCTCATCTGCCAAATCTTGTTTTCTCTGGTTACTCCTACTGTTTTGTAAAAACCTTAACAAATGGTCTTTTCATGCCATTTAGCTGTCCCAGTTTCTCTTTAGAAACTTGATTTTCAGTATTCAGTAAAAGCAGACTATTGTGAAACTTTTTTTTGCCTAATGACTTACTTAAAAATACAACAGGGCCAAAAAAGAAAATGTGCACTGCTGCAGACATGTATTTTATGGCACTCTAGACTGTGATCTCGCAAGTAAACTCACTAACAAAACCAGCTGTATTGTTTTCCTAAAGTGCTGTTATGTATCCAAAACTTTATTTTTGAATACTGCATTGCAGCAGAATTAAGAATTATACTTTCCCACAATATTTCAGACTTTAGTTTAATACAGATCCATTAGATAATTGTCACCTTCAAATAATAATGGCTATTTAAGTATTTTTAATTACTTATTTTGTACTCTTATAAAAGAACCAAAACTCTTTTCTGCTTCTTTCATAACGAATGGCAAATGCTCTATATCAAACAAAAAGATGAAAGAGTTTGAGTTTTAGAGAACACTGCCCCACATAAGAAGTATCACAATGTACACCTGCTTTTGGTTATGGACATTTGCTACTATAAAACCACCACTTTCATTATGGTACACTTACAATCACATACGTAACGAACAAAAAAGGCTTTTGAAGCAAGCAGCTGAAGCAGGCTTTTATCTAGCCCAGAATTCCTACCGCACCAAAACATTGAACACGAAAGCATTGATAACTTTGATTCAGTCTCAAAATCATCCAGGAGAAAACAAAGCCGGCAGATAGCTCTGCCGATGTCAAATATGAGCAACTACAGGAAGCTTTAAGGTTGCGTCCTGAAGAGGTGCACTTTTAAGAAATAGTTCTAAATTGCAAAAATCAAGTGAACCAATTTCTTTAAATCATTTTACTTCCCCTAGAAATAACGAGGGCAAAAATTGCTGATGTTTAAAAGTTCTTTACAAGAGGATACGATAGTTAGACCTACATAAAAAGCATTTGGCTGAACTACATTCAGGAGGTATGGATATTTTTCTTCAATTCTAAGAGTTTTTTTTTTTAATTAACAACTCTACTTTGCAGTTATACACCTATAATTCACAAAATTATTTTTGAATCAATATTTTATTATCAATCAAATTAATCTTTGTCTTTATTTTCAGCAACTGACATTGGGACAGGATTTTGTGTTTGTTTTCCTCAAGATTGCTTGCAATTCAATGCAAATTTTAAGCATCTTGTAATTCATCAACTAATTCTCTCCTGGTTACACACTCCAAGTAATTAAAGTTCAGTAATAACTTATTCTTTCTGCTCCAGCACCTGCATTTCATTTGTTTATTTCCCCAGAATCATAAATCTGAGGGACTGTCAAAGTGCCACAATATTAGTGCAATAATCAAAGTTAATTAGTCCCTCTCAATAAACAACAACAAAGCCATTACAAAGAGGCATTGAAGGCTTTCCAGCTACCCAGTTTACAGATGAGCTGCTTTTCTGAACAATTAGAATTTGAAAACTGTTCATAAATAAATGTAATGTTTCTGAAGTAACTTGAACTTCAGTGATCTTCATTCAGTTACCAATTTATTAACTTTTGGTGAGATAATACAAGAACTAACACAAGTATTCCTGAACTCCCATTGCCTTCAAATAGTTAAAAAAACCTTAGAAATGAGTGATACATTTCCAATTAAAAAGGAGTCAGGCAAATTTTAAACAAACAAAAGCCTTATCCCCTGCTACTGAAAGAGAACCAGAAGTGAGCACCTTTGATGGAAAAGAAAGGTGTCATCAGTGGCAAGGAGAGGAAAATAAAGTCATTAAGTTCACCTGTACAAGAGAAGATGCTTAAATTGGAAAACATCGTTTCTTGAAGCAGCTTGTTGTACCAGAAGTCTACAGTAGTACTACGAGGATCACTTCTTTGGAAATAATATTTTGTAAATAAGCACTACATTTGTCTTTCCACTAGTAAACATCTTCCAACTATTATGTGAATACACTAATATTACTGAGTGCTTTCCCCTGTCATCTGGGAGCAGTTATTTTCAAAGCCTGGGAAGCAAATTCCAACACTCATTGCTAATTTTAACAGAATATGAAGAAAATTCCAACAATATAATGCTGCAGTTCATTATTCAAGTAAAGCATACAGGACCAAGTGAAAAGATCATCTCCTGGAAGTCAGCAGTCATAGCAAGCTTAGACAAAACTTTCTGCAAACCCTACTAGTAAATTAATGGTTGTAGGGGGAATAAGTTAAGAATGCTGCATATGTGTTAGTAAGGGCCACAGACAGCCCGAAAAGAAAGGGGCAGGAGGAGTTAGAAGTGAAAGGGGAGCAAGGAATACAGAAAAAGAGGAGTGTTTACTTGCATGACAAAGTGGAAGAAGAAAAAAAAAATCAGAAGGAAGAAACAAAAACGGTAAGGCAGACTGCCTACTAGCAATGGTGTTGAGGCTAAGGGATTGAGAAAAAATGTTTTTAGCTGTGAAAGTTACATGAATGATCACCTGAATTCTCACATAGTGCAAAAACTACAGGCATAATAACAAATGTGGCTAATAGCCAAGTCTTCGCACTCCACTCGTTATACATTTTGGTACTTAAATTGTCCTGTCCTAATAATTAGAAAACATGTTTTGGTTGCCCTTTCAAACTTACAAAGCCCTTTATATATAACATGGCTAACAGGATGTCAAGCCCCACAATTTACATGGCTATAGAAAACAAAATATCTCTATTGATCTGATATAGCAGTGACTGAACAGAGCATTACCAAATAAAAGGTTTTTCCACCTTCAAATGCACATGCAGAAACTAATTACTGCTTGTACTATAAAGAAGTCTTTGTATTTGTGCTTTATTTTGAAACTACAAATACAGCTTAACATTGGACACTACAGGTATTTACTTACCCATTCTGTAAGAATGCGCTGCACAGCATCATTGCCCCTTGACATATTTCTGCAGGCCAGGATAACATAAGCCCCATGCAGTGCAAGAGACTTTGCAGTTTCAAAACCTATGATAAAACATTTTCCTAGTCAGATATGTATACATCTTAACAAATCAGAGTTATAAAATTACTGCACACAAGGAAAAGGGAACACAGGCATAACAAACTTAATTCACCACCAGCAAGGCATTATCACATTCCTAAAAAACAAATCTACCTCAGTAAATCATAATCTATTACAGTATGTTATTATACATCACTTAATCTTTGCTAAAATATTTTGGATAAATTCCTGAGTAAATTCACGAGTGAACACAAGTAAATTCGTGTTTTTGTCCTATCATCATTTGATATGGAGAACAACTTTTCATGACTATTCTCATTATAAAGAGATTGGTCATTGGATAAACCAGACAATCCAGTAAGAAAAGAAGATAGTTCACACTCCACTACAGTTCAAATATCCCATGAATCTATATCCCAGTTTTCTTGCATACAGACTTTCAGTCTTATTATTAAGCAACTCTGTTAATCAATTATTTCCTATTCTGTATTTGGGTTCTAGATAGACTCATTTAATTGGAAATATTTACTGCAATTTACACTAGGAGATGAGGAGTCTTTGGGAGAGTAAAATCCTTGTGCCCGCCTTGATATAGGCATTAAGTCAGAAACTGGGTTTCTTTGGGGTGAGCTGCTATGCATTTACAGTGTACTCAAGGTGAGCATTGGGCATCTCTCTCAATGGAGAGCAGTATCTATGAAAGTGCAACTTCCATCCACAGAAATACCATTTCCAAGAGGTGTGGCACAGCTTAAGAAGTTCCAATTAGACAAACTTAAACTAGAAAGGAAGAATCAAACTGAAATACCCACCGAGTACGTGCAGAATAGGAAGAGGATATCTGTTCAAGCACTATGACATTTCAAGCTTGTTCATGTTTTCCTTTAGAAATTGTTTACCTAAAAAGCCTATTAAGATGGGCTGCCTCACTTTCAAAAACCCCTGGAGCAACAAAATTCAGTTACAGCACGAGACATAACTTACACTATAGAAACAACAGACACCAGGACAAATTTATACCATTCTCTGCAATTACATACTTATGGCATTTAAGTCCAAGTAATTTTCTTGTATCTTCAGACATTCATTGTACCAAGCAACTGTAATTACCTGGCTAATTTGTTGCATGCACATGAATTCAGCTGCAGCATGTGCAAAGATTTCCCCTTTTCCTAATTCAACTTCAAATGTATTTAACCATGATTTTTCATGCAACTCATGTAAGACATGCTGCACCAGAGCACTATTAGCTAGCTAAATGCATCTTGTTTTGTACAACACCACTTACTTTTACTAGCCTACCATATTACTAAAAACTGGGCAGAATCTCTGGAAATACCATTCTTTTTCACCAGGATGTACAGAGATATGGAGCTAACAATCAGTTTGTTAGCTAAATGTGCCAGCATTTAGCTAACTCTACCTCATGTTATAACACATTATTGTGCAAAATAATGAACTCCATGTCCCTATCAGCTACAGTCAATAACTTGATTCTCATTACCATGAAAAGTGGGGAAGATTAAAAACCAAACTGAGTAAAATTACTTAGTGCAGCTACTTACATGCAGCAACTTCAGGTTATTTAGCACCACTGCAATTTTTCTCTGCAAACTTGCTGGTCCCCCAAGCACTCCCCTTTAAAGTTTACTGTTCTCTGGGCTACTAAAGGATTTCTATTTATTTTATTTTTTTACAGTTATAGGTAGAATCTTCTACTTTTTGAATCCTCCCATGAAACGGTGCTCAAAAAGGTTCCAGTTCAAGGCAAAGAAGTTAATGCATTAAATGCTTCACATGGCTCAACGGAGTTTAAACACATCCGCCTACCAACTGGCTCAGTAATGCAAAGAATACAGCATTTGTAGCTGTGTCCACAAAACACATCTTTACAGGCCTTAAATCCTAATAAGCAGCACAATTAAGGATTTTCACAGTATACTAAACAACTAAGTGGGAGCTTAGAAGAGTTTCAAACTGGAAAACCTGAAGTAGGAGTTAGACACTATCTACTAACGGTTCTTTCCCCTTCCATTCCACAGGCAAAGTGAGGGGTGGAAGGGGGAGACTGCAGTACAGTTGAAGAAATTACTAAAGGTTTTGGCAATAACTTTTGCCTTTGAACAAACTATTTTCATGTTTTCAATAAACGGCTAATTTTGAAGTCTCACCATAATATAAGAATCAAGCATTTAAACTACCAAATTCTGATCTCATCTCTGTCAAGAAAAGCTTCTGTCTATGTAAAAACTATTGTGAATCGAAATCTACATAGAACATGGATCCATATACCAAAATTAAACCACACATACACAAAAAAACCCCAAAACACAGTATTCCTAATGTTCAAGTATGTTGTCCTACAGTCACTTACAAAGTTGAGATATCCACCAAAATGTCATAGAATTACACGCTCCAATAACATATTTTGGTAAAGCTACCATACTACAAACCTCTATAAAACAGTTACAGGGAATTCACCAATTCAACAATCTGATTGTTTGAAGGAGATATTTTTCAAGTGGATTGTGTACCATCTCCCCCAAGCATGTAGTAAAGAATGCATATCAGAGTAAACACATAGTTTACTTTCTTACACACATATATTTTACTTCTCTTTATTCCAAATGCAGGTTAAGAATTTGAGCACAGAAAAAGAAATTCAAAGAGTCATTTCAAAGGTTTTTTTCAGCTTCTTTTGAATTGCTGCGATGCTATCTTTCTTTTCAACAGCTTAGGCCTCATTTTAGAAGTTCCTGGTCTCTTCAAGATCATTTCTTCCTTTCTCTCCATTGATAGAAGAGGAGCTTTAGAGGCCCCAAATTTCTAAAGTTTCTTCACATATGCTTCAGTAATGATATAAAGCCACCATGAGTCCAGCCATCCTTGAGCTCTATGTCACAGAGAATGTGAACCTAAACTAAAGGGGAAGCCAGAAGAAAAACTTTCGTTCTTTTACTACAGTAAATACAAAAGTTGAGTTAACAAAAGTGATCTCTGAAGCTAGAAGCAAAAAGCATTAAGCTATTTGTGTTGTGGTTTTCTGGTCTTTCCTACACCGACAGGTTATTTACAAACTTTAGAACAGGAGAAACACCCTGATTTAAGGGCACAAAATGTGAGAGTCAAGAGAACTTTCCTCTACACAGAAGTGATACAGAAGACAATGTAACAGGGATGTTGGGTTTTTTTCTCCCCCCCACCCCCCCCACCCCGGTCTTTGTTTCAAGTTCTTTTCAGAACTTGAACTTGCATCTCTGATACTCTCACATTCAGCACAAATCCGAATATAGTACTTAATTTTTCTTCCATTTTAAGATCTTCTGGAGAAAGTATTTCCATTAGGCCAATGTGTTTTTACAATATAAATCCTACATCTTGCTTAAGAAATCTCCTTATCATTTGGAGAAAACCAACAAAACCTCAGCAGTTTTAAGCCAGCAAACAGTATGTACACAAAACTTTCTAAAGTCTTTTGCTTTTTAAACCCTTAAAATTTTGGTAAGGCACAACAATTACTAAACAGGCAGTGCATCTGCAATATATAATCACTATCTACCCAAATCATGATTACCTCTACATTAAAGAAAAAATCTACAAAAACAACGCATTTCAGGTGAAAATGTTACTCCTTCCAAAAACCTTTGTCTTGAGAGCAAAAGTTTACAGAATAAGTTTTTTTTTTCCTATATCAAAAGCAGATCAGGTTTTAGTTTCAGGATACAGAAGGGAATCTTTCAGAGGAGAACCGTTCCACAATACATGCTGCCTTAATACTTTCAAAAAAAATATAACACAATATAAATGAAAAGTAATTTAAATACAGTTTTACTGCAGATGAGGGTGAACTGGCACTATATAGACATAGATACATAGATATCTAAATTCACTTTTCAGCCTCCAGAAGCACAAAGCATATCATACACCAGGACAAAGAACAAAATTTTTGTCTGCAATCATTATTTCAACATAAATATTTATGATAAAAATCTCAGCCATCATTCAAGTTGCTTCAAATGTAAGTTCCCAAAACAAATGCAATGCTACCATTCTTTAGAATACTAGTTTTAAAAGCCCACTAAAATATGCTAAAGCTACCTCTATATTTCTGCATATTTGTTGGTATGTGGTAAAACATATTGTCATAGAGAAGTCTGATCGTAACTGAAAGATGCATCCTGCCTCTCCCTTTGTGTGCTGATGGGACAGATGTGTTTTTCTTGGATTCATGAATCTCAAAAAAACAACCAAAATCAATTAGGATGACTAATGCATTTGTTCTGTTTTCAATCCAGGCAACTTTAAAATATGCACTCCCTTTATATGTTACACTTTGTGTAGTTATTCTTAATAATAAAGTTACACTGCCATTGACACTGACAAAACTTGTTTGTTTTCAAGGGATCATAAAAACAGACAATATGATACAGAATCCTTTAAAATGACTGGTATAAAAAGACACACGACCCATTATTTCTGAAAAGAAAACAAAAAAAAACAAACACCAGACTAAGATGCATTATTTGAGGCAAAGAAAGCTAAACACATTACTGAAGGTCTAGAAGCAACTAAGGACAAGATGTGTTGCCTACATCAGATACTTACATTACCCAGAGGCTGTGGACACAGCCACGGTCACAGGCAGATTTAGCCCATACTCCAGCTGGACTCGCAGGGACTCCTACCAGCTCCCTGTGAACGATGGCACTGCTGCTTGTGCTCAAGTTTATGCAATTAAGATACACAGCTCAGACCTCAATCACTTCAGCTCTCAAAATCTAAACACAGACAACTATTTCAGATACCCAAAGGGACATTCTAGCAGCAAACTGATTCACAACTGCATGTCCTATATACTACACAGTAAGCTGCTATTACCCAACATAAAGACTGCAATAAGTCAGAGGCTCCACTCTGGAATAAACCCTAGTATGAAATACAGAAACTGTAGTACTACAGCATAAGTTAAACCAAATTACGTTTCTTTAAAAATATTTATTTA